CCCCACACACACTTTCCCCACTCTTCCGTTCTCTCTAACTTTCTCTTTTTCTCTGATTCCCTCTCTCACCTTCTCTCCACCTCTGTCTGCCCTACCCCCTTCTCCCTCTCTCTCTCTTTCTCTCTCTCTCTCTCTCTCTCTCTCTCTCTCTCTCTCTCAAACAAACAAACAAACAAACATACACCCACACAAAGGGAAAAAAAACATGGCAGACCTTGCGTACACTTTGAGTCACAAAAATAAACATGGCCCCAGTGGTTGTATTTTATGAGCTGATGAAAAATTAAAACGACGGACATTCCCATTCCCCTCTCTTCCCTCCCCCCTCCCCTCACCTCTCTCCCTCCCTTCCCCTCTCTCTCTCTCCCTCTCCCCCCCTCTCTCTCCCCTCCTCTCTCTCTCAATCTATCTCTCTCCCTCTCTCTCCCTCTCTCCCCATCAGATCGATACAAAAGGACGTACAGCACTGAGTCTCACAACCACCTGTGATTGCTAATCTATATTCTGCTGGCTCTGTGCCCCTCACTTCAGAGTCAAGAGTTGCCAAATTCCGACATTCCTCGTGAGACGGACTCATTAACACAGCAGAATATTTACATGTACACGCATTGTACATTAGAAAGTGAGGAAGGTATATACGTGTGCAATCAAAACACTTCTAGTTAGTTTTTCGAATACGAAGTCTCTTTATCGATTTCATCATATTCTCTCTCTCTCTCTCTCTCTCTCTCTCTCTCTCTCTCTCTCTCTCTCTCTCTCTCTCTCTCTCTCTCTTCCTCCTTCTCCTCCTCTTCCTCCTCTCTCTCCCTCCCCTGCCCTTCTTCCCTCCCTTCCTCCCCCTCCCCCCTCTCTCTTTCTCTCTTTCTCTCTCACACCCACACCCACGAACTCACACACTCACATTTACGCACACCAACTCTCTCGCTATCTTTAAAACTATCATATTTATTTTGAAAATGCGATTTTATTCAAACATGATTACATGTAATCAAATGGACGCTCACACTCACACAGCCAAGTGACGTAATATACACATTACATTTGTTTTAAAACAGTATTGAAGACTTCCTTTCACTCCTCATTTCTATGAGATTGACGCCATTTAAGTAGAAAAAAGTGCATATGTTAGGGCCCAGTAGTGTATTATGTATATAATTATTACAACATAAAATTGTTACAGTTAGAGATTGAAGGAATATAGATGTATATCAAGGATCTGCAAGCAATTTCACTCCTCAGTGTTAAATGCTGCCTTGTCATTTTTTCTGTAATGCATTTGTTTAAGACTGAAACCTACTCCACATGGATACGGAAAGAGAGAACCCCCCGGGGCGGTGCCACTGACTGAAATGTCTTTAGGCCATTCCCAAAGGGGGGGACATTTTTCATTCTAGTGCACAGTAGAATTGTAAATGGGCTGATCTAACAATGTCCTGCTCATAACTGTGCCTGAACTACAACAGGGAACTGCTGCTTTTTTTTTCCTAATTCTTATTATCATCATTTTCCTCTTCTTCTGATGTATGTTTGTCACACTCTTGTGACCCGCTAGGTCCGGGGTGCCTTGATGGTCGAAGCAAATTTTGTGTTGTTGAAGCTAGAGAGGTGAGCAGAGTATGTCTGATTCCCTGTAAGGACTTCTCTGTTGACATCTACCCCTTGGCGCTCATATGACCTCATGCAATTGCGAGCGCCGTAAAACCTCAACTAAAACTAAAAAAGGAAAGAGAAATCCCTTCCTCTCACAGTTTTGACCTGTCTCAGACGGAAAATGCTTTGCCCACTCAGCCTTGATTTGAAGCAAAACTCAAGTTTGGTTCAGTCAGTTATAACTTTTTCACCTTGTTGTCGGGTGAGGAAGGGGGGAAGGAGTGCAGTTTGAGGTTTGCTGTTGCCCCGTCCATGTGAGCCATGAGTAGTGCAGATGGTCAGGGTAGTGTGGGTGTATGAAATCTCACTACTGCTTGTGAAAGTGCTGGAGTGGCGCTCTAGTTTGGAAACTTTCCTGGGTGTGAAATTAATTTGACCACTGCCTGCCTGATCATTTGGCCAGCGTGTAAAAAAGCTCCTTAATTTGTTGTTAGATCCAGGGGAGGGGTGGTTTGTGCTTATTACACCGACTTAGGGCTAGGGATGGAAACCAAAGAAAAGTTCTATCTTTTCAGTTTTTTAATTGGTTAATAAACAGTTGTCCTAATGACTAACGAGCTGAGAGAACTGATGGCAATGGATAAGTGAGACTGAAGCATGCCATTATCTTAGAGAAGCCAGGATAGCACTTGGGAGATGTGAAGTTCTGACCGCTGTTTGCCGACTGAACAGGCGACCCTTGATCCCACTGCTTATGGGCTGGGCCTCCCATCCTCATTCTTCCCTAATTCCCCTTTCCAAGACAAAAAATGTGTGAGACGGAATTTTGTAATAAACATATCCGATCTATGCCGATATTTATGGTTTGAGTACTGCGTCTTTTAATAGTTAGAATAGTCATGAAGATTCTATGATTATTGTATTATTTCTAAAATTTCCCACAGGTGTTCTGCAGAAACATAAGTGGGAGAATGCAATGACCATTGACAAGTACTCATGGGGGTTCCGACGTAATGCACGTCTCTCTGATTACCTCACTATTGAAGGACTGCTACAGACATTTGTCATTACTATCAGGTCAGTCTGCTTGCTAAATAAAAAAGAAAAAGTTCAGTATCCCTTGTCCTCTTTTAGTAAAATCATTTATTTGTTAATTTTTTTTAGTTTGAGAACTGAGCAGCACCTAGACAAATAATGGTGTATTTTGATAAAATCATTTGTTTATTAATTTCTTTAGTTTGAGTTGTGCTTAGACAATGATGATGAAGTGTGAGAAAAAGATCAGTTCTGTGGAACCTGCTTAAACTGAAAACGATTAATCCGAAAGCCGAAAATAGCGGTAAATAGAAATAAAATAGAATCCCCAATTTTTATTCTTCGTCTTTGTAAGTTAACTATCGATCGTCCCAAGTGCTACCTTTTATAAACTGAAATGACTTTCAAAAGTCAAGTCGGCGAAATCTTCACTTGCAACCCTCAAGTAATTAAAATCGTCACGTCTTGTCCACTTCAAGATCACAAAACAAGAATTAGACATGAGAATTCCAGGGTACCATTTGCCTGTATTTATCATGCACACCAACAGGCCTACATACTGTGTATAGTTATGCAATGATTACCTCTGCAAAGTTAGTTCACATGTATATGAGCATGTGACAGAAAAGAAGCTCTCAAGCCCCTCTGTCCTCCTTATCACTTACAGTACCGTTGGGCGACAAGTCGCCGGCCCGTAATTTCCGCTCAGTACAGCTGGCGACTTAAGTTGCCAACTCGACCAGGCACACTAAACAACAAACGGAACTTTTCCGCGGAGGTAAACATCAAGGGAAATCACTCTATTTGATAGCTGAATCGTTGATGTAGCGCTTCAATTTTTTAAAGCACGTTTCTTGAGTTGTGAAGGTTTTTTTTTTACATTTTTTGTTATACCATGGCTTTAGCGTTCCCAGATTGCTATATCTAGATCTAGAAATTCCGGTGGGCATGCCTACCCTCTCCAAACAGAATGGGAGTTTTTTCATGATATCTATATGTCGCAAAAGAGTTTTTTTATAAAGTGCATAATTTATTTCTGAATATAATATCTTGAAAATTTCATGTAATTCTGTCAGTGACTTTTGTTTCAATGAATTTTTTTGGTAAGATACCCTAATTATTTTGTTGGCTTCTAAATCGGTGCGGTACTTATGGTTTTTCACGATATGACCCTGCGGTACTGTAAGTGTTAAAAAACCCAAAACCAAAACCCCCAGACCGACAGATGAAAAAGAAAAATTGATGGGAATAGCCAAGTGATGCCTCTGGAACAAAAGGACACTACTCAGTATATAATATGTGGATTATAATTCTTGGGGTGTGGTCGATGAATTACTTCCCTTTTGTGTGCACACTATTTTGAGCAGTCTGACCTTACCAAAAACATAGCTGAACCGAAGAAAATCTGGCAGTGCCGCAGATTTCAGTTTCAGCTGACTCCACCGTAGTTTAACAGAAATAACAGAGAGAACAGAGAAATGGGACGTACCTCAGTCTTCAGCACTCTCCAACCACAGGTTGATGTTTTTTTGTACACAAGGCTTGAACATTCTTTCCCCGAAAAGTCTACTTTTTACAAAGAAGACATCGACATCGAAATCATATATTTTTCATGTGCATAGCCCATTCCTGGATGTGGTGTATGTCTGTCTTATTTTGAGCTAGGATGTTTTTGCTGGTGGATACCCTTCAGTAATTACCATCTATAACCTTCCCTGTCTGACATAGTTTGAGAAGTGGTGTCGGTAACCTAGTGGTTAGGCTACCTAACTCGTAATTGTGAGGTTGTGTGTTCGGGGGTTCCGGCCTCAGCTCGGTCCGACGTTGCATCATTGGGAAAGGCACTTTACACGGAATTCCCATTTGGCCGTGTCCTTTCAGAGATGGACATTAAACTCGGAGGTCCTGCCTCTTAAATAACCTAATAGTGTTGATAGAGGTGTTAAACCCATACCATTTCACCATCATTCTTTGAGATTTTCCTATTTATCGTGTCCTCTCACAACCAGGCCACTGCTCAGAAACCATGTGATGAACACTTGTAGACTAATATTATGTTGGCAGATATGTATAAATTTCAACTCGTTTTTTTTTTCTTTTTGGCTTTTAAAAAATTCAGCTGCGGAGGCAACATGCTGATGAATGTGGGACCTCCCAAACATGGCCATATTGTTCCAATATATGAGGAGCGACTATCTCAGATGGGGTCCTGGCTGAAGGTCAACGGCGAGGGTGTCTATGGTTCTCGGCCTTGGACTTCCCAGAACGAGACTGTGACTGAAGGTGTATGGTGAGCTACATTTTATATTTGGAGAACAGAGACCTAGTGTACTTTTTATTGCTTCCATACCAGTGTCTATGGTTTAGCGGTTAGGTGCTTTGCTGTCACATGCAGGAGACCCGAGTTCAATTCCTTACCAAGGAAAATTCTTTATTGAGTATCTCGGTCTTTCTTTTCAGATGTTGTTTACCTCTCAGCTTGGGTTGGCCCCGACAGGCGGGGTCAGAAGCCCACTTCCTAAATGGTCTAAATTGTGCTTCAAATGTTTGTGTGAATGTCCTTCCTCTTTGCCTGTTAACTTAAAAAAAAAATATAGATATAGATGTTTTTACACCTCCATTGAAACAATTTAGATGATCATTTAGGAGGCAGACTTTCATCCCTGCTTGTCAGAGCTAACCCGGGCTCAGAGGGATTCAACACTTTAGTAGAAAAATCGAGTTACTTGATAAAACTTTTGTCCCCACTTGGGAATGTCTCCTGCGTGCGACAGCAAAGCAAATAAACCTCTACACCACAGACACAGGTTCCTTGCCAGCGCAACCAAATCTCTGTGCAAATGGTCTTAGGCCTGCCTGTTTTTTCTGTTTCATCCATAGGTTCCAAGAAAAGGAGGGGGTTGACTAAACTGCAAGTTTGTTGTGTTGTGTTGGTATTTCTTTGATAAAATGACTGAGATGAGGGAAGGTATTGTGTACTTTTTGTTGTGTTATATTTCATAATTGAGGAAAACCCCATATTATTTTTATTGCATCTCCCCTTTTTCATAGTTCTTATTCATGTTTTTTTCAGGTACACCAAAAAAACAGATGCCAGTGGTACTTCTGTGTATGCGTTTGTTTTCAACTGGCCCGACACGGATACTCTCAGACTTGACCTGCCTCAAGTGTCATCAGCGACCAAGGTGTCTCTGCTGGGATACCCGACGTTGCTGAGTTATCAGACTCGATCTCCCAAAGGGCTGAGCATCTCAATTCCATTCATCTCTATAAACAAAATGCCTTGTCAATGGCTCTGGGTCTTCAAGATCACTGCTGTGGAAAACTAAAACTTGAGAGAAGTGCAATGAGTAATTATGTTATTGTGTCAAGCTGTTTCTTTTTTACACAAACTTGAAAGTAATTTAACTTAGTATTGTTAACTTATTGACATTAATTATGTCACTCATGGCTTTCTTAGATTGTGTTCTACACAAATAAGAAGTAGGTTATGTTAAGAAACAGTATGAGATTTTTAGTAGTTGTAAAGCGCATAATAATAAATAATAATAATAGCATTTGTATAGCGCATACCCCCGTTTGACAGCAAGCTCTATGTGCTTTGCACTATTTTATTTCTCCAGCAGACGCTATAACACTCAGAAGCGTTTTGGGCTTCCTGTGAAGCATACAGTGCAAGCAACCGATTAAATGCTCTAACACTAACAAACTGACGAGATCTTTTGCTGTCTATAGCTTGGTACCCATTCTCACCTGAGTGAAGTGAGGAAAATTAGTGTAAAGAGCCTATCCTAGGGCACAACGTCAGGTACCTGACGGGATTCGAACCCTTGACCTTACAGCTACGAGTCCGAGAGCCTAACCACTAGACCACTGACGCCACAAAGAGCACGCTGTAAAGTGTGGATATGCGCTATATAAATGCAATTATTATTATTTATTATTATTATCTCCCAGGTCCTGTTCTAAAATGAAGTTGAACTTTGGTTTCTCTTGTTTTACTTGGAATTATTTCAGTTGCACTAGGTCTCCATATGAAAGTGATTTGTTCAAATGTAGAGTGAAAGCAGGCTGACAGCTTGAATATGCTTTTTGATTAGATGTGATGGTTAAATTTGGTGTAAATATAGTTACACTTTTATTAAAGAGTTAAATTGTGTTGGTGATTGATACTGGTGTCTGTGTGTAGCGGTTAAGCTAAATGAATGTGTTGTTACTCCCCTGTTGACACAATTTAGATGATTATTGCCTGTGAGGGGCAACCCAGGCTGAGAGGGATACAATACCCAGCAGAAAGATTGAGGCACTGGAAAAAAATTCTCCCCCACTCAGGAATTGAACTCAGTTCTCCTGGGAGAGACAGCGAAGTTCCTCCCTATGGTGTCACCACAGACACTGGTAGTTTTTTCATCATCATCAGTGCTAAAAATGTGCGTTCAATTTCCAAGTTGGGAAGATTTTTATCAGGTGTCTCTTCTCTGTCTTTCTGCTGGGATGTATGAATATTTACAATTGATGCAGCATCACAGTTCTCCTGTGACTTGAAAAGTTAAATACCACCAAAGTTGAAATTTTAATATTTTACATCTGAATTTGATGTAAACATGTTTTGCACCATGGATTTGATGGGTTATGAGGCAAATTGTTTTGAGGAAAAATATTTTTATGTTCTACACATTGCAAGCATTGAAGTATTGAGCCAAAAAGTGTTGTTATGACTTTGGATATTTTTATATAGAGTCTATCACCCGCTTGTTGAAATGGGCAGGGCACGAACATCTTTTCGTTATGTACGAATTTTGCTGTAATTATAATAATATGTAAATTTCAGGCTATATCAAGGTGGACAATTGGGCCAACATTGTACTTGAGTTATGGCCCTCACCCTTATGGCAGACACCATGTCTTGCATTTGATTTTGAACAGTATTGTCCAAAATATCTATGTGGTTTTGTAATTAAGAAAAAAAATTTGATGGCTTTTCAATATATCCTGAAATGGACATACATTATCTGATTTATGTAAATCCAACATTTATGTTACACATTCCTTTTAGAGTCATTCAGACACTTACCTTTCATTAATTTGACTTTGACAGACAGTGGAGTCCACTTATACTGAAATCTGCTGGACAGCCAGATTTTCTTTGGTTTAGCCGGGTTTTCGGTGCAGAGGTCAATAAAAGGAAAATATCTTTTATTTCATTTTGGTTTTACACCCTTTTTGGATTAGCTGTGTTCAGTTTAAGTGGACTCCACTGCAGCTTTGTAAACATTTATTCAGCTTGTTTTTGTGTAGGTGATCTCAAAGTTGATTGACTAGTACATTCCTTGTGTTGTCATTTACTTCAGATGCTGGAATACGAGGATGTTTGTAAAATGGATGTTGTCTTTTGCAAACTTCATCTTGTTTCCTCCTGAGCGCAAACCACCCTGTTTGTTATGTCATTCAATAATCTAATATGACATCACTTGAAATTCAAATGATTGGTTCGAGAGCAGTCATGTTATAGATTCATTACGTGTATCATGTTGGCAAATGAAGTCAATATATTAACCATTAGACGGCAACTTCTATTATGGTGCATTGTGATTCATCTTTGTACTTATTAAAAAATGAAAAAAAAAGAAATTGAAGAAGCTGCCTAATGTGCCATAAAAATGCTTTATAATTCTTTCCTTGGCAGAGGTATACATTGAAGCACAGGATTGTGCAGTGACCCTCTGGATTCCATGGGTATCTATTTTTTAAGTCACAGACTCATCATTTCATGATATACAACTTTTGTCCTTTTTACCTCCCTGAGGCAAAAGTGTGAAATTGTCTTCTGGGCCATTTTTGAAGCCGTATTATGATCATTTTGAATTGTCAGATGTCTATGAAAAAAATTGAGCTAACTACATGCACCAGTAATTTTATACTGAAGAAATTTGGTTTTTGTAGTCAAGTTAGTTTATGTGTGAGCTGTCTCTGAAAATAATATTTTTCGTATTTCTCAATGTACACAAAAATATACAATTTTAAACTTTCATCATTTTCTTAAATATCATCCTATTGCAATAAATTTGGTATGAATGTGGATTGATTTTTCTCTTAAATCCAATATGAAAATTTAGTGTTGGGTACTTAATACAGTCCGTGCCGGCTTTAAGCACGCCGGCTTAAAGCACGTTTCGGACTCAAGCACGCTAAACGGTTATTACCGAATTTTTGCTATATAAATTATACGCCTTTAAGCACAGTAACTACGGCTTCAGGCACGCTTCATTACAAGACAGTCAATACTTTTATGATGACCCATCGAAGACGAACACAGTCTACACTGCAGCAGTGGAGTGTGTTAAGACAAACACAGAGAACGCAAGTGATGGAGACACCCACTCACACGCGCGGAGATGAAGGCAGAAACTAGAGAGATGCACGTATGTACATAGGATCTAGCCTACCGCAAAGTTACACACAGACTGAAAAAATACAAAGAGAGTCAGGGAGACGAGAAAAGGAGGCTGGCTGCGATTTCACTTTTTGTGTATCACGCACGAGATTGGATGAAGGCGGTGGTATGAACGTGGCACAGCGGGCAGTGGTACGCACAGGCAGTGTGTAGGCCTAGTGTGCTGTATCGTGACTGGCCGTCTAAATTAAGTTTTCATTTCCCATTCGACCACAAAACAAAAACAAAACAAGCAAACAAAAACTACCATGGCGGGTAAAAATAACAGTGCACACTTTTGCGGGACCGCTATAGGTCTACTTACAAACAAAGGGAAATAGCACGGAAAATTTTCTACATGAAAATCTCTTGATTTTGTCTACTTCGCACTCAAGCACGCTTCGACATTAAGCACGCTTATACTTTCTCCCGATAACCGTGCTTAAAGCCGGCATGGACTGTACAAGATCCACACGCTCATTTGTAGTTTTTGATGAAACCGCTCAACTTTGACAATCAGAAGAGAAATCCTAGCTTTCATTTTCTCGTGTCTGCATTTGTTTTTATCAGAGTGGAATGGCTAGTTTGTGGGGGGTTGAAGGTATATATATATATTTATCTACTTCTTTTCTTTCCCTCTGTTGTTTCTGTTTATTCGTCTTATTTTTTTCCTACTCTAAATTAGATGACCGTTGTTTTGTCCATGTGCTTTTCTTTGCTCTATTATTAAATCAATCATTTTTGATTTTTTACCCACGAGTTGCTTTTTAGACAAATGCCTCTTGGCCCTTTCCTTTTTTGTGTGTTGTCATTGTTATGTACGAGTCAAACTATAAAGGTGTATCTTCTAAATGTTCAAATGTTTTCAAAATGTTTCCTTGAGACCTGTTAACAATGTCTTGACACTTCTCTAGCTGAAAATTATAACAAATGTTATTTGACAAAGGAGCTAAAAGTTACTAAGAGTACAGTCAAACCTCTCTATACCAGTGTACCACCAGCCCCACTTACCATTATGTTTAGTCAGTGTAGTAAAGGGATGCCTATATAAACATAGCATTTGCGCCTAGACACTGTCTTCCGCCGACTATCTGAGTTATACGGCCCTTATTGTAAATTTACCGTGCTGTACCACCAAGGGAACTGGCCACCAGAGGTACACATTAAAACGGTGCATGGCACTCACTTAGTGGCTGCTTGATAATCTCTTTCCCACTCACGTCTCTGTGAGTTTGGCTTATTTCTCGCATTTAATTTGTCATCGATTTGATCCTGACTTGTACTGATTATGAAAATGCCATTAGTTTTACTCTTAGGCTTCTGTTAATATTGTGTTAAAAAATTGGAATTCAATTTCAAAATAGCTTGGAGAAACTTTAAAGGAAGTGCACCACCTTTGAACTGGTGGTGAAATAGCGCTGCCAGATATCAGCCTGATGACTGAAGGCTTGGGGGCGCCCATGGGATTTTTGTATTGGGAGGAAAGGTCTGAAGTGACCGAGGACTGATGAGTATTGGGTTTGATTTTAAAAAAGTACATTTACAAGGTCATTGACACATATGATAAGCCTAGCTTCTGGTCCGGCAGAAATTTAAATTTGAATTTACATAAAGTTCAGCTGGAGCTCTATATGAAGTTGGTTGCTACTCGTTTTTCCCATGTGCATGGAAAACGCGCAAAACAGGTCTATCATCTAGAACTAGATGAGCCAAGACTGGCCACAATTTGTCTCTAGTCTCTGCCACTATTTAAGATGACAATCGGTGCTATCCAGTCATACCCCCAGCCTCGCTGTACAGCCAACCTCATGCTTGTCCCAAGGTAGGCAGTATAATGGGGTTTGACTGTATGAATTGATTCCTCCTGTCTTGTTTGTACATAACTATGATGACGCAATATCAAGTTTTTTTGAAAAGAATGTGAAACACCTTTATATTCACTTTTTCTGACAGCTGTGTTTTTTAAATATTTGATTGTAGCTGGGTCTGGCAATAAAATTGAAATTTTATCATGCTATTCTTACTTTTTTTTTCATTTAATGTTTGTCATCACTGTTATACCTGTCAATTAATACTTTAACAACAGACGCCATTATATCCCAGAAATTGTTCGATTACTTGCTCTGGCATTTAATGACAATATTCACAAATTAGGTGGGCCTCCATGACCCGCAAGAGGTTAACACTTAACGATTAACGTTTTGATAAGAATAATCTCCAGAGAGTGCGGTGAAGTGTAATAACTTAATAAGTTCCTTGGAAATGGAAGGGCTTTTTCTTCTTATGCCCCCAAAATGTGAAATTCCCTCCTTAAAGAAATGCGTATCATGACTTCAGAGAGAGAGAGAGTTTGGGAAAAGTCAAAAGAGATAATTTGTTCAACACTTCTCTGCTGGTAAATTTTGTATGTGGGAGTGTGTGTTTGTATGTGTGGGTGTAGGAGTGTGTGTGTGTGTGTGTGTGTGTGTGTGTGTGTGTGTGTGTGTGTGTGTGTGTGTGTGTGTGTGTTTGTTGTTAAATGATCTTACAACACTGACTTTTCTGTCCTTTGGTTTGTTAGTCATGAGATAATTCTGCATTGTAGAGCATTAAGAGCCTTTTAGGGATTAGATACTGTATTAATTTCCATCATCATCATCATCGTCGTCGTCATCATCATTGTATAAAGAAGGTATTATATCATCATCATCATCATCATCATCATCAGCAGCAGCAGCAGTAGCAGCAGCAGCAGCAGCAGCAGCAGCAGCAGCAGCAGCAGCAGCAATATTAATGACAGTAGCACTGAACAGATGCTGAGATATTGGGGGGGGGGGGGGGAAGGTTGAATGAAGTTTTAAAGTTTTTGTATGAGGTAGGTGTGGAGGAGTTGTAATCACTATGTAATCTGTGGTACATGCAAATCAGTCAAGAAGAAGCCTTGAGACTTTGTTGGCCTATATGGAAAGAGTGCTTGTAAATTGTTCTCCCTGCAAAAAAATACCCCCACCCCCAAATCAATCCCAATCTGTTCTTCCTTAAAATACCCAACCCAAGCCAATAGGTTTTATAATGGTATCTGTGTCTGTCTGGCTGTCTTCTGCCTGTCTGTCTTTGTGTATATATATAATATTAATAATAATAGGTAGCATTTGTATAGCGCATATCCCGCTCAACAGCAGGCTCTATGCGCTTTACACTATATTTTCACTATAAAAAAAAAAAAAAAAAAAAAAAAAAAAATGTGTGTGTGTGTGTGTGTGTGTGTGTGTGTGTTTTAAAGTGCCGACAGAGGCGTGTTGTGAATAGTGCTGCCTTTTTCTACCATTCCTACGTTCTTTTTGCACCTTTCTTTCTTTCTTTCTTTCTTTCTTTCTTTCTTTCTTTCTTTCTTTCTTCTTTCTTCTTTCTTTCTTTCTTTCTTTCTTTTTTGTAAGTGTTTTACCGCGCTCGCAACTGCATAAGGTCGTGTGAACGCGCGGAACACTCTTAACATTTTAAATTTGGTAGGAATCAATTTTGAATTTTGCTCGGGTGGCGGCCGAAGCCTACTCTTGTCGATTTTAGGACAACCAAGGGATCTTTAAAATGCGCAACTTGCACACGGGACCTCCGAGATTTTTTGACCTAACCCGAGAAGGCTAGATGTTACCCCCAAGATCAGAGTTGTGGCTGAAAACAGTAAGAAACCAAGGAGTAGGGGTGTAGTAAGGCTGCAGAATGAGTCAGGGGGGTGGGGTGGGGGGGGGGGGGGAGACGAAAGCAGACGACTGAACATTGTTAGAGTTTTCGAACTCGGAACCCATCGAATGAGAAGCGAACACCGTACCTCTAGACCACGAGAGCCCCTTAATTTTTTTCACTTTGAGGTGAAGAGGGTGGCGAATGGGTGTGTTTATGTGCTCTTTTCTCTATCTTTGTTCATTTGTTAGTCTACTCTTGGACATCTTTATAAAGGCACAGTGTTGTGTGTTCCGTAAACCCTTTCAACCCCCCCCCTCCAAACAAACGTACGAACATACATACAAACTCGGAATTTCTTTTGCAGCTTGTCACTCACAGATGAGGTGGGAGGTGCGCGACTGTGGGTGATCTAATGTACTCTTTTTATTGTCGCTACGCGGGTGGTTGAAGCTACTTCTTTACAGTAAAGGTCCCCGTGGTTTTATGCACCCAGCATAATTTAGTAAAATTTGATCATTTTTTGCATAATTTCTGATTATTTTCCTTTATCATTCTTTGATAAAATTAACAGAATCGCATAATTTCACATTTTTGGGCTCAGTTTGCCTAATTTCAGAATGTTTCTTGCTTAAAACGACGGGCATAGTTTACCTTCCCACTGTTGTCTCTGTCTGTCTGTCTTACTCCCCCCCCCCTCCCCCAAGCAGTTATAAATTATGACCATTATTGTACATGTATTGATGTGTTTCTCTTTACTCAAACAAACAAATAATATTTGTAACTACATTGACTATTTTGTAAAATAGAAAGCGTTGAAACACTTATTAAGCCAATCGGTATCGATTACGGGGGCGGGGAATTATAAAGAAATTTATAAAGTTTTCTATCTGACATTTTTGGTCGTTTTGAGTTACAAAGACCATGAGGTCATAAACCAAATGTTCTATCTACTGAGATATCAAAATCGTGAGATTATTCGGAGTCATTAGCAAGATATTCAAATAACTGCATTCGAAAAAGCTTTACATGATGTGAAACTGAAACATCTTTGACGTCAAATTTCTGAAAACTGAAACAAGATACTAAGCAGACAGAACTTTGTAATTCTGAGGTAACGATTTGCTTCCCTTAAAAAAAAAAAACAACCCCGTTTCAGGCTCTTGAGTGGCCTTTACCGTATCAGATGACTGACTAGTCTTGCACTTTGACTCTATACATTCTCAGGGCTTGGCTTGAAGTGACCATAAGTAGATATTGAGAAATGTAAGTTTCAATCTGGCGTTCTATCTGCTCAAGTCAACTGGAAAAGGAAACCATGTACGGAATTCAAACAAAAATATGATCACCTTGAATATTTTTGTGGTGAGAC